AACTCATATATTTGTTCTTTTTCTTAATAGATCTTTTTTTAGTTTCTTTTTATTATTAGATTTTATTGATTTTAAAAAATATTTATTTTTTTATTTAATTTTATTAGTAGGACTTGTTAATTTTTTAAATTATTATTATTTTTTGTTTATTTTATATGCTTAATATTTTATTATTTTAAAAGCAAAATATTTTTATTTTTTAATGTTATTTTATTAACTTTCAGATTTTATTGTTTTAAATTTTTAGAAATTTATTATATTTATGTTTTAAAAAGCAAAATATATATTTATTTAATATATTTAATTTTTAGAAAGTTTATTGCTAGGAGACAAACAGAATAACGCTCAGACCTCTTCGTTAGGGATCTTTCAATTAGTTGTTCGAAAGACAGAAAAGCCCATTCAAGATAGTTGCCAGAAATGACAACTGTCTTACGAAAAGCTTTTGTCTTTCAAAAGACTGTGGTGAGTTGAATGATAGCTGCCAGAGTTGCCGTCTGAATACCCATACACTTAATGGTACTATTAAAATTTTCGTAGCTATTTTGGAAATATTTTAAAGGAACTTGAGAATTTTGGGGATTTTTCTTAATTTTTTCAGGCCTTTTCGGGATTTTTCATGTTAAATTTTTGATCTAACTTTCGGCTTTTTTCCATACTTGTTTTTGTTTCAACATTACTTCGGGCTTCTCGAGACATCATTAAATTTTGCTTTTACAGTGGGTCAATGTTGCCAATTTTCGGTCACAAATCCAGTCTCATACTTAATTACATAAATAACTTAAAGTGTAAATTGGCTATAAAAACAATTTTCCTCCTGCAGTGCCTTTTTCGTAGGAAAATGGGTCATTTTGAACCACGGAATAAGCTCAGTAACCTCTTACATAAGTACATTAAAAATGACAGTTAAATTTTTACGTTTATGATTTTTGTTCCTTCGGTCACACCCATAAAAATATAAAAAAAGTGTGTATATTCATTATTATGTACATATGTATGTATGTTTACACTTGCCGTTGACGGTCAACAGATAGTGCAAAATGTAATTGTACATTTGAGAGCCAATAAGTTGACAGCACTTAGCACGCGACATATTGTACGAACAATTACACTTACACTACAATATATGTATGTATGTATGCCCATATGTATGTGTTTACTTACCTAATGAATACATATGTTGTTTGTAGGAAAAAATGCACCAGAAACTTTTTAATGAAATAATGCGAAATTTTATTACATATTTTCACTTTGCTTTTATATGTATGTAGTTTTTGCATTTTCATTTGTTGTTTGTTTGAGTTCTTTGTTTTTTTTTGACAGTACGAATATACATATGTACGTTCATAGTTGGCAAAGTTCACATTTGTCTGTGATTTTTGCCATTTCGAAACTCGAATGTGCGTACGCACACACACACATACACACACTAGTAGAAAAATCGTAACGAAGTTAACTTCATTTGTAAACACCGCGATAATACAAATTATTCTCGGGCGCAATGGCATTCCAGTGGCGCAACATAATTGGGCGCCAACGTACCGCTGACACTCTGCCGGCGTCCAAAAGGCGTGAAAGTTTGTCGAAACTTTAAACATATTCAGCAAAAATGATTGCAAATTGGCACAACAGTTGGGTGGTAGGTACGAAGGTAGCAGATAAAAAGTAGTAGAAGAAAGAAAAGAATCAGATGTAAAAAATAAGCAGAGAGAGAGAGAGGGAGAGAGAGTGTAAAATTTCTTTGAAAGCATAGTTTCTGAATTACGAGGCACACACACACAAATTTGCGAAGAACTTCGCTGATTGAAAATTATAATTAATAAAAAAAAAATGTAAGTGTAATAAACTAAATGCAATTAATTTAAAGAAATAATTAAAATGATAAAATACATATTTATATATATTTTCTGCAAAAATTATTTGTGTTTTAAGTGTTTGCTATTCGATTTTGTTCTACAGGTTTGTGTAAATGTATATACATAGTAATTCAAGCACCAAACAGTGAAAAAAATTAAAAAATCTAACAACAACTAATAGCATTTCAAAAGCATAACTTAAGCGAACTAAAAAAAACGGCGGTGCGAGCTAATAGTACATACATAATAGCGGTATTCACACGTTGCTGGTTATCGGGCTATCTATTTAGGTGTTTTATATTTTTTTCAGTTACCAACAACAAAATACATACACCCGGAAGGTGTGAATACCCAAAATGTGAAAATTCTTAATCTAAGCTCTTGAATGTTTTCAAAAATACATTACAAAAATTTATACAACTCGAACATTTCACTTTACTAGTCTTCCTTATTTTCGGGCACCTCCCAGAACAGCTCATCCTGATGCTGTTCATCCTTCTGTAATTTGCGCACGCCGGTGTATTTAAGTGCAGCGCCTGCGAAGTAGCAAAAAGGGTGATGTTGAATTCAATTTTATTATCAGAGTTAAGTTAATTAAAATATATGTATATTAGGGTGGAGTAATTTAATTACGAAAATAGTGTTTGGCATATTCGAATTCTACGTTCGATTCTAAGCAAAAGTGGTGAACAAACTATATACCAAAAATGACATTGGCACTCCCTAATTTTAAAAGAAAAATCAGTGTATTATAATTTTTTCTGAACGAAATTAATTCTTCATTTACAAAATTTTTTTTAAAGTTTTCTTCAGACGATGTACAGCTTTTTCTTTTGAAATTTGTTCGTAGAATTGAGAAGTTTTGCTGCGAATAAATTACTCCGCCCTAATGTATATATTTATTTTGTGTGTTGTCCCCTCGGCCTTACCTGTTAAAACACCACCAACAATGGCAACCAGCAAGGTGACTGCAATGCCGCAAAGCTGATAGCCAGCCTGAGTTGAGGCAGTGCGGTTGTAGCCCTGGAAGAACAAAATACATATACATCTACATATAATAAATACTGTTGGCGCATTTTTTGTGCTATGTGATTTATGTGTTTAATTTTTATCTTTAATGTACAGTATAACTACTTTCATAGCGTTTTTGTTTAGAGGTTACATTTTCCGCTAACATTTAAACGGATTACTGCACTGTCCGCATTAAAGATGGTAAATAACAGAATGAAAATTAACAGCAACCTGGTACTTCGCGTTTTTTTTTAATTGTTAGTGTTTTGTGAACCACTTTCTTACTAATACTTTATTAAAATTTTACGCCAATTCTTATTTTACGCGCACAAAAATAAAATACTAGGAGTGACAGTTACAGTGGAAATTCGACCGTTTTTCTAGTTTTCTATAAAGTATGCCGAAGAATTTTTTTCAAAGATAGTACTTCGAGTATCTTGCATTGTACAAAGCTGCTAACCATAAATCTTCTGGTTCGGCACTACACATTGACTATGACTAAGCACTAAAAATTTAAATAAATGAGTTCGCCTGAACCACACTTCATACAGAAGTGAAAATTTCTTCGACTAATTTCTAATTCATTTCATATTGCAGAAATTTTTATTAAGATTAATACCTACTAAAGAACGAAAACATGACACTGAAGATGGCACAGCGCCGAAACCGGTTTGCCTGCAAACCAAACTTGACAAGGCATGCCGGAAATTCGTTCCATAATAAATCATCTTACCACCCAGTCGGAAAAATCAACCAACACCAACATATTAATATTAACCTTATTCATATGCCGAATTTCCACCAGGCATTGAAATGAAAAAAAAAATTAGTCACATTTAAATATGCCATGTGGAGATGAATTTAATGACTATTCTTTTAACGTAATGGCTTGCATACATATTTGTCGTTTAATGGCTAGTGGAAATCTAGCATTAGACTTCGTCTGCATAGTCGTCTTCGTATTTGTTTTTATATACGTTTTAGCCGCCATCTTTCTATTCGACATCGTTTCGCCTTCACTTTACTCGCTGTCTACGTATTTGCTTTAATCTTCGCCGTGTTCGTCTTCGTTTTTATACCCGCATTCGTTTCGTATTTCTATTCGTTCATTCGTGTTCGTAATCATCTTCTAACTTGTATTCGTCTTTATTATTGTTGTAGCAACAGCATGAAAATTGCTTAAAGAGTTTTTAGGGAAAATGTTTTCGTAACAGTCCTTGGCCAGATACAAATCTAGGTCGGTCCAGTTACGTAGACCCGATTGTCATGGAAATTAATTCGTTTTGGCATTCATATTCATATTCAAAGATGAAAATACAAAGCGAAACAAGCTGCGAAAAATAATACACAGTTAGCATACCAAACCCAACTCAAATTCGGTACTATACAAAAAAAAAACGGAAATTTGTACACTATGATTGCGGAAAAAATTTCCAAAAAAAATTTGAAACCGTAATAACTTTCATCATCTAAAAAAAAAACAGTAACTTTCGAATGGTGCTTTTGTTTTCAAAATCAGCCCAGTAGAACCCGCCCACAAAAACGGACAAAAATACATATTAATATATAGATAATGAAATTAAACCAAAACTGCAATTATAGAGAAAAAAATTTCAGATTGTCCGGTAAATAGCGGTGTCCGGATTGCCGAGACAAACACTATACTTTCATTTTTGTCCTGCGCTCCAGCCGGAATTAATTATTAAGTATAATCTTCTACAGTACCAACTTACCCCAAGTATAATTGTTGAGTTGCTGTTCTCAGTTGCGCCAACCATAGCTGGAAATATTGCACCCAACTCGGATTTGTAATTTTCTTGCGTTACAAAATTGGCAAAAATAGCTGAGGCAATGGCTGATAAAACGGCTGGCATGCCATGCAAATTGTGAACGCCACAAGTGTCATGGATACCGAGCGCAGCTGTTATGCGGGGCTAGAAAAAAATTAAGTAAAGAAATATAAAATTTTTAATACAAAATTTAGCTATAATTAATAAAAACTTAATATAAAATGAATTTAATCCAAAATATGTAATTTTAATCGTATAACTTTTTTGTAATTTTCCTAATCAAAATACATATCCATAAAGTGTTATTACGTGGCTATTTTAATTAGTTACTATAAGCACAACTGCATTTTTTACAAAAAATTATTTTTACTCAATTAAGATTTGCATAGCTTAATAAATTCCTAACTCATTATAGTCCCAATCAGCTAAATGATGCTTGTAAACTGAAAATGTGCTTAATTAGCTAAATCAGTGCAATTAATTTAAAATCACTTTGAAAGCAAAAAAAAGTATTTCGTGAAAAAGGAAAAAGTGCTACTTAACATAAATTGCCTCTAACACTTCATAGAGCGCACTCGAGTATTCTTTGCATACTCGTAAAATAAAAAAAAAATGTATTTGATAAAAAATATTGCGAGAGTAGCTAAAAAAAAATTGCATTCGAAATTGTTCAAAAACTACTTGTGGTACTCAACAGTACCGCGGTCACCCACACAAACACAAACAACTGAACGCACAGAGAGGGACCATTTGTTGCCGGCAAGTGTACGCTTGCGTGTTTGTTTGTGTGCTTTTGAAGAGCTAAATATGTACATTAAATTTATTCATATTGCCTGCATGCACACACCCTGCGCACGATTTGACGATGTCATTGCAGTGATTCCAATATTGGAATGGGTTGAAATATGTACATATGTATATTTTTAGCGCGCGCCCTCGCGTTGCAATCTGGATGCTACATACATACAACTAAATTGAAAATTAAGCACTCCACGTTACGATGAAGCCTCAGCAAAAACACTAATGTTCTTTGTTGTTGACGCCATACATATATGTGTGTGTGTGTGTGTGTGTGTATGACATCTCCATAATCACGACCACCTCATTCCCCACATTGTGAATGCAAATTGCGGTTTCATTGCTTGCCTAACCCGCCCGTCTGCCTTTTGCGCCGACTGCCAATATCTCTCTCTCTCTCTCTCTGTCTGGCTGTCTGTCTGTCTGCGTTGCCTGGTTTGATGGCCTGTAATGGCTCAATAATATGCTTCGCTGGTTGACAGCCGCATACATATGCACATATATATATGTAAATACATACATATGTAAATGAGCAGGTGTGGGTGGAAGCGTGCACTCTGCGCTGGTCGTTGGCGGTTGCACAAGCTAAGTACTCTTCAGTCACTAATTTGCATTTTGAATTAAATTTAATAAATTTGTTATAAAATAATGACTTTTACTGATACGCTGCAAAATTTGCTGGGTGTTTCTTTATGTATATATACACATGTACGTATGTGTGTGTGTGTGTGGCAGTTTGCGTTCTCAAACATTTGAATGCTATAAACATGCCTAGTGGTTGAAATTTGTCAAGGACACTTTTGATTTTTCTAGGTAATTAAATTTGTTTGCTTGCTTCTCTTTTAAAGGCCATCTATGTATGTGAAAGCAAATATATTTCTGTGTAGAAAATTTATTACATTTTGCATCGAAAAACTTCGTTTTTCGTAATCAATTTGCAATTTACTAATTAACTAAACAACTTTCATAAATTTTATGAAAATGCTCCACAAATGTTCGTATAAAACTTTTTGATTTACTTCAATAGCATAGTTTAAAGTTACTATTCAAATGTAAAAAAAAGACAAAATCAATTTTAAATTTTCAAACGTAGTCATCTATGAGCAAAATACTCTATCGAGTGCATGGAAATGGTAAAACGTCTTTATATCCTCAAGTTGTCTGGACACTGCGGACTGCCCCCACATTAGCATTGAACGTAGTGCCTGTCGACGTTGCAGGCAGAATTGTTGCGGAGCGAACGGCCATCAGACTCAGGGAAACCGATTGGTTGACCAACTTAGGGACTGGACAGTCTGGAGTTGTAGGGGGCTTAGATTTCATTCCTGATCGTACGGATTACTGAGGAGTGCGGCGCGCGAGACATCTGGCGGAGGGGTGCGATGAATTTCTTTACGGATGGACCGAAACTGGACGGCAGGTTTGATGGTGGGGTCTTCTGTCGACATCTTACCAACAGCACTAAGCTCAGGCTCCCGGACGTCTGCAGTGTATTCCAGGCGGGAGTAGCTGCTAACAAGGAGGCGGTGAATTCACTGCTAAGGAGCTTTATAAGAGTCAGGGAAGTGAGCGTATATTCTGAGAGCCAAGCGGTCATCTGGGCCTTGAGTTCGTTGGAAGTGAGCTCTAACTTGGTTCAGGAATGTCTGCTCTCTCTTTCGGTCGCGTTGGAATACTTTTGCATTAGGCTTATTTGGGTTCGGGGACACAGCGTCATTGAGGGGAAATGTGTGTGGTTGACGAAGTGGCCAGGGAAGGTACTCGTAAAATATTAACACCAGATAAAGAGAGGCTGGGGGTGCCATTGATCGCTTGTGGTACATTCTTGCATAGATGGGCCTCATGTCAGCTCAGCGAGTGCTGGCCGAATACCACGACATGCGCGATCGCAAGGTGCTTTTGGCCGGGCTCGGTCGAGGGCACTCCTCAAACTCACAAAGCCACAGCTCTCACTTCCGGTGGCGATTTTAACGGGTCACTGTCCTATCGGTATTCACGCAGTAAGGCTGAACTTTCTACCGGACCCCTTATGTCGCAATTGTGTGGAATAGGACGCGAAGTGGAACCATATCAACACTACCTTCTTGAAATACTTTGGCTCTCGCTTTCTAAATAGCCCCGAGGAGCTCTGGGGCATTGAGATAAGTCTAATTCGTAAACACATAATCGGCTCGGAGCGTTTTATCGATAAAGTTTAGGGCGCCGTTCAAAATTGTGGCACCACAAAGGACCATCTCACATTATCTAATTGAGCTCCGGTAACATGGGGCTGCCACCTTACCTAACCTAACCTAACCTGACCCCGAAACCAATAATTTTTCAAAACTTTGTCCGCCACATTCAATTTCCAAAAACACAGCTAATCATTTAAAAGTAAATATTTTTACCGAAGTTTCGAGACTATAACCGATTTTTTTTACCTAAACCAATTTTGGAGAGATTGGGCCTTCAGTTGCGAATAATGCCTCATATGTATATTTTTGCTGCGTCCAAGACAACCATTGTCATGGATGGAAAACAGCAAATATATATGTATTTATATGTTTTTTTTTTTTACTTGAGAACCGCATGTCATCACCTTTGCCGAAATTATCGTATGTGCTAGAAACCAAACCAGTTTTTCGCCCAAAGGGGTCCATATAATGATCTAAAATACATATCGTCACATGAAACGCAAAGAGCCATAACTAACAAAATTTTTGTATTTACATAGAACGGTTTGGCGGTTCGGTTTGTGGCCACTCCCTATTGAATGGCGTTAAAAAAAACTTTCCCCACATATCTGCCTTTCTGCGGCCGGGTTCAGTAACTGCACTAAAAATTTATTCGTAAACAAGCTTTTATTAAAAGGTGTTTGTATTTTATCTTAGCTAAAGGCATTTTAATTAGTATTACGTTTTTTAAGGCATGCAATTTAGATATGCAACTTAGGTTCTTTTAAATAAATACTAAATATGTATGTGGACCCTTTTCATCTGTGAGAGCCACTTACACAAAACGAAAAATTGTATTAAATAAATACAAATTAATACCTAATTTTATTTGCCCCATGAGTGCGTACCCAAATTTCTACATCCTTTGAACCCAAATTACACACTTTGTGTCGTAATTTCTTTATTTAATCTTAGAGCTAATAAATAAATAGTTTTTCTTGCCCGCCGGCTGCACTATACATCATTTGAACCCTAAAAAAAACGACGAAGATAAATTAACAAACTATTTTACACCACAAACAAATATTTTATTGATATACATACATACATACTCGTACGTATTTACTCTATGTGATTTGCTGAAAATGTTTGCCTTTTTTGTTTGCTAAAAAATAATGAAATATTTCGTTTGTACTACAAAATGAGCGAAGGAGAAGGACTGTTATTATTATTATGCGCTTAGGCCAAATATTTTAATTAAAATTTTCCTTTATTGAACAAAACCAAAATTGCCATTAGTAAATTTTGTGTGCACTAAAGCGACGGTGGCGAGTGGTAGGTATGTATGTATGTTTGTATGAATGTATGTAGCCTATGCATTGGCTTATTTACAAAGTTGTGTCCAACACTTGACCTTTTTGTCAGCCGCAAGGCAACTAGTTTTATTAGTGGAAAATCGCACTACATACTTTTATAAGTAGGCATGTATGTATGTATGTATGTGCATAAATATCGATGTATGTATGTATGTATAATTAGTGGATAGTACACAAACTGAAAACAAGGCTAATGCGGCTACCGTAATGAATATGGTTCAAGTTAATAACCAAAATAACAACAATAACAAAAATGTGTAGTGGGCAGCCCGCAGGCAGGCAGGCAAGCAGAATTAAAGGTACAAGTGGACAAGAGTCACTGGAGGACGAACAAACTCGGCTCAAAACACTCTATTTAGTGCTTGAATAATAGTTGTTGCTGTTGTCGAGTTGTAAAAGGGGCATCCAACGAATATATGTAATTAGGCATATTAGGGTGGAGCGAAAAAAATCAATTGCGTAACATGATCACATTAAACGCTTTCCCATTGGATAATATTTACGGTCGCCCCAAGAGCTTTGAAATTATTTGGAAAATCTCTCAAATTATTGTTATTTTATAGTTTTTTTTTAAAGAATTTCTAGAAAGATTTTTCCATACAATTTTTTTATATGGAAGACACTGTCAGCAACACGCGATTTTTTAGCAACTTGAAACTTGCACTTTACTAGACTAAAATTTAATGGGCTACAAAACTGAGTATATACTAGAAGATCTTTTTAAATGGTAAAAAATAACCATAATTTGATTTTTCGCACTGTTAAAATTTCGAAATCGAACAATTGATTTTTTCCACCGCACCCTAATGTACACACAAACATGCCCGTATATTAACGTTGCTTTCGTTAGAAAATTTTGTATAAAATTACATAATTTACATACCAAAATTTTGGAAACGAAACAATTTTAAATTCGGAAACTTATGTTCAACATTTTGTGTCTATGGTATGGTATGTATGTATGTATATTGGAGTAGGCTGCAAATATTTATGGGCATTATTTGTTTTGTTTTAATTTACACAGCATAGTTTTAAAAAGTTTGCACTCCACATATTTAGATGCGTGCGTGCATGTTTGTATGCTTACTTCTTGTGTGTTTGTACAGCACTCTGGTAATACGCAACGTATGAGCAACCTTCATCTGTTCATTAGCCCGCTAATGGTTTTATTGTTCCCTCGTATGCACTTAACTATAAAATGTGTACTAATAATTACTGTAAAATTAGTTACAATTCAAAAATTTACAATAACTATGGCTGTACTTAATTTGGAGTTTTATTGTAGATATCTTTTCGATTTGGTATGGTTGTGGTTACTTCTCTCAAATGTACTGCTATTACAGACTTACACATGTGCTTTAATGTAAGCGCATTTATTAATGTTTGTATGCTCATAAACATTTTATTTTAAATACATATACACTTTTTAATGATAGTTTGCTCTAAAAAGCTTTTACGATACATTGAAAGATTTTGAATCAAATTTTAAATAGGTAATTAAAGAGAAATAAAACTAATACCGCATTTCCACTGAGCATTTAATGGCAAACAAGATTAATAACAATGTTGCACATCGGATACAATTCGCGCCAAACAGTTAAAAATAATTGTCTGTAAGTCTAGTTGTAGATGTAATTTTTTAAATGATACAATCTTTTGTACTTTCAGTACCAAGTGGAAATCGGACTTAATTTTCATTGAAATTTTTAAATTTTAAGTAATGATGCTTTCCTGGTTATCGATTATAATTTTATTCAGATTCCAATAACAAAATACAGTGAAGAGTAATAAAAAATAGTTAACTGGCCGACGCGGCAGTCTGTACAACAACGCTTTATTTGAAATGTTGTCATTCAGAATTTGCTCTCGATTTATGGTTGGTATCCTGCTGCTCTTTCTTATAAATAAATATCGACGCGAGCAAATTAGACAGGAGCTATGTTCCAAAACTATGTAGGGCGTTAAGAGTAATTTGCATACCAAAGGCAGGAAAGACCCGTCATGTATTCTCTAGGGGCTTCAGACCAATCAATCCCTCAGGCAGCATTTGTTATTAAGTTAGCATGCTTACTGCAAAGGTACAAAGCTCGCTTTCTGAGACCGTTTGGCTGGTTCTCTCGCAGATATACTACGCAGCTCATGCCTTCCCTAATAATGGGAAGACTTTTAACGGCGTTCTTCCTGCAAACTCTATGGATAAATTGGATGTCGAAATCGAGCTTGTCCAACTTATCTATCGCATCTATCCAAGGAAGAGTGAGTAGAGCTACTCCAAAAGGCGGCCCTTTCACCCATACTTTGGGGCGAATCCATAAAGAAGTAGGATCTGTCAGTTAGTTGACTGTGCGGACGACACAGACTTTATGGTATGTGGAAAGTCCTAAGCCACCCTGTATGAACTTGGCTTTTTCTCTTCGCAAATAGTATTAAACTTCTGTTACCTTCTCTGACAGGCTGAAGTACGTTGCCTGCTCATAGTTAGAAAACTATTTGAATATTGCCAGAGAGTGCTGAACATCCCGTGATTCCAGGCCACAGAAGCATAACTGGACGCTGCAGACCCCATCAACTGGTGAGACGGGGTACTATTGAGTAGCTGTTACCGTGTAAAGAGCACGTGGTGGCACCATTGATCATACTTGGTATACAGTTGGAAGCATATTTAGTTAGTTCACCGAGCGCTGAGCAAATGCCTTAAGATGCAAGGTGAGGGTAGGTGGAAGGCGGTCAATTACCAGTCGCATCTCTCTATACGGTTTATTAACGACTGAAATCCATGCGATTCATCTCACCATCGGCTGCTTGTCTTACTTTAAGGTTGAAGCACCTAAGATCTCACCTTTTTAGATGACCTTATCTTGATTTCCTGTTAATGTTACATGCATATAAGAGCCAGTAGATGTGATTAAAGAGAAGTTAAATTTTAACAGGCAGGCGAGAAAACGGCCCTCAAAAAGGTTTCAGCAAAAACTAAACAACGCTTGTGAACATTTAGTATGGGTACGCAGTATTTTTTTAGCTTCTTTTCTGTTCATAGTTTTCTCCTGGAAAGAGCAGAAAAATAATTGGTGCTATCACTTCTCCGAGCACCGTATTTATAGTTTATGATATCCGATAGCATACTGGTGCATCTACATATCTTGCCAAAGTCACAACATTTCAATAATCAACAATACCGACAATAATGAAACATTA